TGCTTATGTGAAGGTTCACTATTAACTAGCCCCGGTCATTAATTACCTGAAATTACTGGCAAAGTTCTTGGAAACCTCCAAGAAATACATGCAAATGAAACTTTGCAAAAATACGTCCTTTGGCCCTGACACAGCTGTCATGTGACTCCTCCTGCTAATAAAGCCAGCTTTTCAAAAGAAAGTCCAGGAGACAAATTTTAAATTGATAAGTTTCTACCCTTTGAGGTTTTTGCAGGATAAGAGCATCTTGACTTGGTCCAAGGGCACCATTCCGGCTTCTCTGCGGGCTGCGAGGTTGGAGGGAATCAGGGCTAAGAACCCCCAACCTGCTGCGCCACACCCTGGTCACGTGTGCAGGGGGGCCCGGTGGGAGGGGCAAGCTCTTTGGGTTCCCATGGAAAGCACAGCCAGCACCGTGCCCAATCCCTGCGGTGACGGAGGGAGAACAGGTCAGCGGTGGGGCGCGGTGCCATAGAGACACCCCTCCTGCGTCCTGCTCACCTTGGAGTTGCGAAGGAGGGCCCGGGCGATGCACAGCAGCTGCCTCTCTCCCACAGAGAAGTTGTTGCCATTTTCCACCACTCCTGCAAGCAGCCTCCCGGGGAACCTTGAGATCTGTAATATGGGGGAGATAAGAGACAGGCCATGTTGGCCATCGAGGGGCGCCATCTGAGCTGACCCCGCAGACCCCTCCCCTCTCACTTTATAACTGGCTGGGTCTCTCCAGCCTGCCCAGCATTCTCACCCGTGGCTGTCCTTCCACCGCCATCCCTGGGTCTTTGCCAGGAAAGTTCTCTCAAAGGTCTAGACCCTGCTGGCCCCTCAGTATTTAGCCTCCATCCACATGTCCTGTCCTTAAAGAGCCCCTCCCCCTGAAAGGAGCTGCGCCCAGTGAGGTGTCTGTTGGCCCTGTGGCCACGGCAACAGCCCAGGAGCACCTCATGTGTTTCTTTGCTGGCTTTGCCTCCCCCTTGAGTGTGAGTCCTGAGACCGAGCCCCTTCTGTGTGCCTGAGCTGAGCTCACGGCGGTGTCCAGAGCCTTCAGCCTCGATGCAGAATCACAGATCACCTGGTGTCCGTGAGGTCGCACAGCCCAAGCCGGAGGCAGCAGCATCTGGACCACCCGAGTAGGCTCCCATTGCAGAGGCAAGTGGAGGCCAGAAAGCAGGTCTCGGTGCCACCTACCGTCTTGGTCAGGAATGTCTTCTCCAAGACATCCCAGATCTGCTCATCTGTGTAGCAGTCAAAGGGGTCTAGGTTGAATCTGCCGGTGAGCAGAAAAAGACGTATTTAGCCATCACG